GATTGTCAATTTGTGCACACAGTAGGCCTGTTCTTGGGATCTGGGCACGAAACCAAATGAGCCTCTGTAGTGCATCTGTTATCTTGAGTGTAAGGGGTTACTGCTCCAGCTACTTTCTCGAGACCATCTCAAATCACATGTTTGAAATCTGAGAAATGATGTATCACGTTTTCTGTTTTTGTCCTCTAATTTATCTGTCCCCACACCTCTAAATAAAAGTCTGTTTATATATTTTTAAATATTTCAAATACGGAGGCTGTAGTTTAAAATAACTCCTGAAACCTAAGGTGCAAATCTGTAAAAACCAATAGAAAATATAGGATATATAATTAAAGAAAAACATCTGAAATAGAATAGTAGTGGTCACGGTACTGAAAGAAATTACTCACGTTTCATTTTCTTTCTTTGACTCTTGGACCTGTGGGTCTCCTTACCTGATGTTTTGGTTTTTTGAGTGCTTGGACTTCATACTCCCAGCCTAGAAACTGCCTGTGGTTACATCTAGCTGCATGCCTTCAGCCCTTTTCACCCAAACGCAGTTTTTCTGAGGCTCCTTAGTGTTGCCAGGCGTCTCTCTAAGCCTTGTTCTTTCATGGTTAAGCATACTTCTAACACTGGGCCATACATACCTCCCCTGCAAAGAAATCCTGTCCTGATAATAGAGCTAAATAGATGATTTATGTATTTTTTAGTTGCATAGCCTAGAATATATCCAGGTTTTTAAAATAATCTTAGGCTTAATTTTGTTCACCATCCAACGTGTCCCCATCAAAAGAAACTAGCAAGATATTTAATAAATATTTATTTGTCATTACATTAGCATTGGTGTAAAAAATGTCAATACATAGTATCTTGATTATATATAAATGGTTTAAATTTAGCATTGCTAGAATTTTACTTTACTGTCATCTGAATCTGAAATAAATCTTTAAAATAAAAAGAAATGTCCTTTACCAAACATTTTAAAATTTTTTACAGAGCCTAATTACCGTTAACTGTCAGTTCATTTAGACTAATTGCCTACTTTGTAATTTTAACTGTTCTGTGTTGCTTTTCCAGAGGCATGGCTATTGTACCTTGGGGGAAGCCTTTAATCGATTAGACTTCTCAAGTGCAATTCAGGATATCCGAAGGTTCAATTATGTGGTTAAAGTAAGTGTTTTATTTCAAAAACTACTTTGATGACTCTTTTGAATAACTGAATTTTGAAGATTACAAGTGTAAGATGTTTATGATGCTTTGGGCAGCTGCATAAATATGCACCTGTTTGCTGCGTCAGAAAAAAAGGGGGTAAGTCCAGAAGAGAACACTAAAATCCAAGGATTTCCCCAAGGTTGGTGTCATAGGTTGCTGGACCTTTAGCACTTGAGCCCTCACCTGCCCGTGCTCTGCAGTTGTGAGGATGCTGCGGGGCATCTCTCATGGGCTCGTACTATGTGCCTATGCACAGCATTGGTGATAGGAAGAGAGGAGGCAGGCATTTCCAAAGGAGCTTTACCTTGTGATTTCACATGCATTTTCTACTTGATGTTGTTCACAAACAATGGACCTTATTTCATAGAGGAAGAACAGCAAACAAGAAAAAAAAAAGAATTTTATACAAAATAGAGCTCCACAAAAGTCTTACTGCATTAATGGTGTATTTTTAGAAGAAATGTTTATCTTGGGGTACATTCAAAAAGAAAGGATCTTAGCCATATTTATTGTTTGCTTTTATTTGTCTGAAGATTAATTACTATGTGGTTTGTTCACCTTCATTCTGTTACAGGTAAAGTATGAGTTATGGTTTATGAAGCTATTAAATTTTGTGTTTTTAATGGTGCTGGGAGATAGTGGAAAGATTTTTGTTTTAATGGCTTTTAGGCATTTAAAAGTATTATCGGAAGGACAAAAAAAGTGAGAGGTTAAATAACGTTAAGGCTCAGGTAGTTTTATCTGTTTGGTTTGGTTCCAGTCAGAATCTGCCAGGGCACCTACATAACTTAGATCT